TCGCGTCCTTTCCGGCTTGCGCCACTATGGCCTGGACACCTCCGGGGTGCAATTGAAGGAACTCAGTCACATCGTATACAAAACCCTGCAAGTACGACCATTTTAGTACGTCTACGGCCGCCTGGAGCGGGTTCCAGTGTCACTAACGTTGATGATTACCCAGCAGTCTTCGGCCGAGGTGTGCTTCTGTACTTCATCGTATGAAATCAATGCTAAGCCAGCGGCGGCGTCGCTGGCAGAGCTATCGAGGAAATGAAATGTGGGGGGTTGTAGAAGCTGTGAGGATGTCGCAATGGCCTGGAGGAGATCAGTCAGGGTCAGCATGGAACCATGTTCGCCATTGGCAAAGGCGACGAACAAGAACTGCGAAAGCGGCCCAAATGGATGTGAAGCTTCTGTGGGACTGATTGGATCCAGCCCGACTCTCAGAAGCAGCTGGGCGCGCGAATCTGGGTTGTGTGGTGGTGAAATAACGAGATGGCAAGGCTCGCGACTGCGGAATTGGTGTGCCTCTGGAGCTTCGGAGGAGGGGCAGAGCCGTTTTGAAGCTCGAGGAGGACAAGCGCAATGCCATCCTGGCTGATTTGTGAATGTCGATTCGGTCTAGGAGCTGTTACGAGAGGAATTGGGCGAGGGAAACCTGGAGAAGAGAGGGAGAGAATGGAAATAAGGAAAAAAGGAAAAAACTACAACTTCGTCATTTCACAGAGATCGCTGCTGGGCTAAGCATTCATTCAATTGGTGGAATATCACCCCCATCTCACGCCAACGACAAATAGATTAACGGTTCTTGGAGGATCTGTGCCATGGGGAAAGCCACGATATCCCGAAATCGGCAATTGCTTGATGTCTCGTCCGGCGTTTGGGGCAAGGCTCTGCCGGGGGCCATTTCCCTTTTGATCCGACCAGGCGCTGGCCGCCGGAGAAAAAGCCCAAGATCCGAATCGGAGAAGCACGTGCAAGATCCGATCCGGAGAAAGCGATCGATTCCCTCTGATCTTATAGAAAGCGGCTTGGCTAAGGGAATCTACTTCGCTCTCAGGTCCCGATTGTAGTTGTTTTGACTCCTCTGATGCGGTTTGGGAGCCTTGAATGAGATCAGCCTGTTCTTCTGATGAGATTTCCCTATTCGTTGGTTCCGGAGGCTTACTCCAAATCTGTGCTTTTGGGGAACTGGAATTATTGCTGCTGACTCATGCAGACAGGAAGCTATCCCATTAAGGCAAGCGTCGGCGAAGCTTTGCGACATCTCCCCGAAGTGCCGACTGCTCGTTGTTGCTTCGTTCATTACGGGACAAATGTGCAATAAATACGGAATCTTTCCTATTGTTTGTTGTTAGTTGTTCATTTGACAAAGATCTCAATCCTGTGATGAAATTTGAAGAGAAGAAGAAGAACGAGAGGGCCCTTTCTCCTCCTTTGACCGCCACGTTCCTCCTGTGATGGTCACTGGATTTGCAAAGAAAAAAAAAAGTGCCAAGGAAGACAGTACCGATACTCAGAGTTACGATGGAGTATGTTGCCAGGTACTATTTCGAGATGGAACTCTTAGTTCGTGATCACACCTATTCATTCTTACATGTCGCCTCGATGTGATAGTGATGGCCTCGAGATAGCCAATATGGCGAGTTAGAGATGAACTAAACGTATCTGGGTATGTAGTTAAAGAGGTACTTGCAACAGCACCAAGCGGTTTGAATCGACGTGAGACGCTTGTTCACTCTAAGCTTAAACGACACTACACGGCATACAAGTGGCTAGAAAAAATATGTGCAACACAAGCCCCATGTATGATACTGCTCTTGATGTATTTACAGTTTTGGCCCCTTGGATCTTTGTGTATCCTTCTCAAGATCGCGGAGCAGCCTTCTCAATATCTTGCCGCTGGGACTCTTTGGAATTGTCTCGATGAATTCCACGCCTCCTCTAAGCCACTTATGCCTGGCTTTGTGGTCTTCCACATGCTTGCTGATACTTGCAATGGCCTTCTCATCAGACTCGCTCTCCCCTTCTTCGGATCTGACAACAAAAGCCTTGGGGACTTCGCCTGCACGGGGATCCTGAACCTGGATAACAGCACAGTCGGCCACGAAAGGGTGAATTAGAAGATGAGCTTCCAGCTCTGCCGGTGCCACTTGATGACCCTAATATAGACGTTAGACAATGCGTGGTGCGAATCTGGCTGAACTCCTCCTCTACATGGAACATTGCCCAGTGTGTGGGATGGGGGTTTACATACGTTGACCTTGATAAGTTCCTTGATGCGGTCGACAATGAAGAAATGGTCATGCCCTTGCTCTGACCGACGGACCAGAACCTCATCGCCCGTCTTGAGCCATCTCCCATCCTCGTGCCATATGAAAGTCTCGGCATTAGCCTTTTCATTGTTGAGGTAGCCGATCACGACGGCAGGCGACTGGACCAGAAGCTCGCCGCGCTTGCCATATTCGAGCACTTCATCACCGTCTGCATCTATAACCTTGGCCTTGAAGCCCGGGATGAGAGAACCCGACGAGCCCACCAACACATCCAGCTCGCTGGTGCTGGTGATGAGCGGCGACGACTCCGTCATGCCGTAGCCCTGCACGACGTGCCATTTGGGGTACTTGCGCAGAATGTCATAAGTCAGCTCGCTCCCCAGCGGAGCCGCGCCGCTAAAGACCACCCTCACGCTGCCTAGGTCGAACCTGTCGCACTTCGCCTGGTTGGTGATTATCTGGATGAGGATCGGCGGCACCACATCGAGCTGCTCGATCCTGAATCGCTGGACGGCCGCGAGGAAGGCATCCAGGTCGAAGCGCGGGAGGACGACCACCTCGTCGCCTCTGTAGCAGGAGACCAGGCCGACGAGGACCAGGCCATAGATGTGGCTGAGAGGGAGGACACCGAGGACGACCTGTGTCTTGACCCCGAGGTTGTCTCTGGCGACTCTCTCGAACATTTCCATTTGGATCACATTGGCTATAACATTGCGGTGTGACACTTTGACGGCTTTCTATCACACGTGGGGGGGTATGGTGAGCTTTCTGCTGGGCCAGTGGCAGATCCTGAGAGGAACGGCATTTGAAATAAAAAGATTGAGTTAAAGAGTGCTTACAGGTAGTCCTGAAGTTCCGCTAGAGTAACTCAGGAAGGCCGTTTGCCTAGCCCCTTGCCCCTTGACCCATCGGAGCGGCTCAACCGCCGGAAGCCGCTTCCCTTCGTCGACGAGGTCGTCGACGGTTTTGAAAGGGAGCTTCTCAGAACTGAAGCCAGGAACCGGCAAGAGGAACACGGCGCTTTCGGCGATGCCGGCAGCCTTGGCAGCCTTGAGAGCCGTCTCGAGAAGAGGAACGCAGGTGAAGATGCCCCTGGCGCCTGATGAGCGGAGCTGATGCTCCAGCTCGGGCGCCGAGTAGGCAGCACTGGCTGGCGTGACTATGCCATTGCATCGATGGACTGCTAAAGCGAATGGAATGTAATCAATCTAGCTCCCCAATGAATTCATTCATTTAGCTCAGGTTAAGTCACCGGGGGGGAATGCGGGTGATGTGTACCGTATTCAGGGAAAAGATGGCAAGGACTCGGTCCCACTCGGTACCTTCATCCGGGTTGAAAGAAAAGCGAGCCCGGATCGCGCGCGCCAGATACTCTGTCCGTTGGCTGGCCTCTTCGGCCGAGTATGTTCTGCCGGTCAGGCCGCATGTGAAGGGGTTCCTGGATGCCTTAATGGCACGGCGACCATGCTTTTCGTTGTTCAGAAAGTCTTCGAGTGAGATGGAGTCGGGAATATCTAGACAACTAGGCAGTTAGAAGAGCCGCAGGTACAGCAGGATAGAAAGACTGGGCATGGTCTGAAAGACGTCATGGTATGGGAAGCTGCCTACCAGGTAAATCTGGCACCCAGCTGGGTGGATAAAACACCATGGCGGAAAGAGAGGGAAGCGTGAGCTGATGGAAATTTAGGTGAGATGGTGTGAACCTAGACAAATGAAAGACAAGATGATGAAAGCTTGGATGAATATGCCGGGGCTAACAAGATGAGATGAGATGAGATCGGAAGGGTCTCAAGGGGCTGCTCCTTGGGACAGACTGGCGAGTCAGGACGATTAATTAAGCACGTCACACACTACTCAAACAATACTACATGGATGGCTAACATAATACCACATTGAATTCATAACAGAAGGCTGGGCACTAGCCCCGGAGTGTCTTCACAAACGGGAATGGCGTCCGGGGGGCTTCCTCTGGACGGAGATACAGCCAATCAACGCCCCCGATCTCCTGGCTGGAGAATGCGGGGAAGTCTCAGGCAGTTGCTCAGTGCTTCTCAACAGGAATATTGCCTGTAATGAGCTGTTATATGGGCCCCTTCATCGGGGGTAAGCCGAGGTTGAGTCGCTGGCTCACACTCAAGATCGATGAGATATTTCAAACACTCAATGCAATTAACATAATCATTTCACCATTTCATCATAAGTTGTCTTACCTATACAATACCTGTTAGTTTGTTTCCCTGCTTCAAAGGTGATACTTAAATACCCCGGTCAGATCGTGAGCAGGGGTGTGTTGAAGAAATCATAAACCCCCAGGTTGATGGTGGAATTATTAGGATATTCGGCCTTTTTTTTTTTTTTTCAAATTCATCTTACATGTAGCAGTGTCAGCTGCAAAGTTTATTAAAAATCATTCTCAGATGGAGACAGATTAGTGATATTAAGATATCCGAGTCAAAGAGCAGAGGATCTTGAACGGAGCCGATAATGTGAGATTTCTTTGATGTAATTTTACGGAGGTTAAATGTATGATGCAAGGAGCTACATGGAGATTGGAGAAAGTCAAATATGTTCACGCAATGAAAGATGATATAGCAACAGTGGTCTACACAAAGCTGCCTATAGACTGGATATAGGAAATAGGCACATCATCTATCATGAGCACTTATTATTCTTCAAGTCAAAATGATGCTAGTATCCTCCTCACTCTATCAAATGCAGTTCAAAATTCATCTCAGTTTCTCTCTACGCTTTCTGCGCTGAGCCAAACCATATCGTGTATTGCTCAATCGCCGCCTGCATTTTCTTGGTGCCGGCTTCCATGACCGCCGTGATGGGCTTCCCCCGCGTCTCTTCCTGCGACGCGGCGTAGTGGTTGTTCATGCCCTTGTTGATGTTGATCTTGACCACGCCGGCCTTGATACACCGGTTGTAGATCTCGGGAGTGAAGGGGTCCGCGCCGTGCAGGACCAACCGCACCCGGTCACCCACAGCTTTGTGGACAGACTCTAGGCGGTCGTACTCGAGGATGATGCCGCGGGGCCCATACTCGCCATGCACGTTTCCAAACGCGGGCGCCAGCATCTCGATGCCCGTTGCCACGAACTCCTCGGCTTGCTCGGGCGTCGTCAGAACGCCCTCCAGGTCGACCGTCTCAGCGACGCCGTCTTCCCCCCCTCGATCCGGCCGGGCTCGGCCTCCGTGGCAATCCCACGCTCGTGGCAGTACGACACGAGCTCCTTGGTCAGCGCCAGATTCTCCTCCTTCTCGTAGTGGCTCATATCACACATGATGCTGTCAAACCCGTCCGGGATGTTGGCAGCCCTGCGGACCAGCTCGGGAGTCTGGCAGTGGTCCAGGTGCAGCGACATGGGGACCGAGGCCGAGTGGCACAGGTTCGCGGCAGCCAGGACGAGGGCGTCGCCGGCGTACTCGATGGCCCAGGGGAAGAGCTGGACAATGGCCGGTGACTTGGTGGCCTCGGCCGCGCGGACAGTGGCCACGACGGACTCGATGTTGTAGCAGCACATGGCTGCTACTGCATATCCGCCATCTCGAGCGGCATTGAGGATCTTGAGAGTGCGATTCTGCTCTAAAGGTGGGCGGGGCATGATGATTATGTGTATGTGAACCGAACCGAACCGGATAGAAACAGAAACAAAGAAATCTGTCTCGCAGACGCGGGATGAATATGATCAGAAAGACAGGACTTGTTAAAGTTTTTGAGTATGCAAGTGCGAGATGTAATTAAATGATGGATGAAGAGGAGTGATGAGAGGCTCCGGATCGGGTCGACCAAGAGAAGAATGCGGAGGGTGAAATGACGGCGGTTAGGTAAGGTAGCATTGAGCGAAATGAAATGCACCAGTCGGACAAGACATGTTCTTCAGCTTCAGTTTATGGGATGCCAAGCCCGCGGTCTTTCTGGCGTTGAGCATTGGCATCAGTCCAGCCAGAACAGAAACCTGCGACCCGGCGGCGAAACCTCCGACGCGACTCCATCATCGCATCATCGCCGAGTCGGAGGAAAGCCACGACTTGAGACGCTCAGAGGGGGCCGAATGTGACGAGGTGGGGCCAAAACGGGCCCGACTAACAGGATCTTGGCCGCTGCTCCAGCATTCTTACACAGTCTCGACTGATGCGACCCAACCATGGAGCTCGCTTCTCCTCACTCTGCTGCGCTCAATTGCCGAGAAGAGCGGACGGACTGTCGCTTGAGGGGCCTGTCTTGAGCTTAAGACCAGGTGGATCGGAAGGCATTTAATGAAAAGCATTTGCTCCATCGACTGATTAACCAGCTGCGTGCTCACTCATCGCCAAAGGGGCCGACCTCTGATTCTCGCACCTCTACCCATCCCTCCCTCCCCCCATCGACAGATCCACAGACATCCATCATCATGGCAGACGCAAAGCCGGCCATCTCCTTCATCGGCCTCGGAGCCATGGGCTTCGGCATGGCCACCAACCTCGTCAAGGAGGGCTACCCCGTCACCGGGTTCGACGTCTACGGACCGACCCTCGACCGCTTCACCGCGGCCGGCGGCCTGGCAGCGACGACGCCCGCCAGCGCCGTCCAGGGCAAGGACGTCTGCGTCTGCATGGTCGCCACGGCCCAGCAGGCCCAGTCCGTCCTGCTCGACAGCGAGCACGCCGCCCTGCCCAGCCTGCCCACGGGCGCCGTCCTCCTCCTGTGCTCCACCGTCCCCTGCGCCTACGTCCAGAGCCTCGAGCGCCAGCTGGGCGAGAGAGGCCGCGCCGACGTCCTCCTGGTCGACTGCCCCGTGTCCGGGGGAGCCATCCGCGCTGCAGACGGCACCCTGTCCATCATGGCCGGCGCCTCGGACGCCGCCATCGACAAGGGCCGCGCCGTCCTGCAGGCCATGTCCGACCCCGCCAAGCTGTACATCGTCAAGGGCGGCATCGGCGCCGGCAGCAACATGAAGATGTGCCACCAGGTCCTCGCCGCCAACCAGATCCTCTCGGCGAGCGAGGCCCTGGGCTTCGCCGACCACCTGGGGCTGGACCTGCGCTCGGCCGGCGAGGCCATCGTCAAGTCCGACGGCTGGAGCTGGATGCTGGAGAACAGGCTCCCGCGCCTCCTCCACCCCGAGTTCAAGCCCATCGCCAGCGCCCTCACCATCATCCTCAAGGACACCAGCATCATCACGTCCGAGGCCAGGCGGGCCGGCTTCGCCACCCCGATGACGTCCACGGCCGAGCAGGTGTACTTCTCCGGTCTTGGAAGAGGGTACGGCCCCGACGACGACGCCAGCCTGATCCGTCTCTACACCGAAGGCAAGGGCAAAGTCGGCCCTGTCCAGGGCACCGCCTCGACCGACGAGGAGAAGCTTAAGCTGGTCATCGACCTGCTCCGTGGCATTCACCTGTGCTCCGCAGCCGAGACCATCGCGTTTGGCCAGCACGTCGGCCTGGATCTGGACCAAGTGTTTGAGCTGTGCATCAACGCCGCAGGAGGCAGCCGAATCCTCTCGGCGGTCGGCCCGTCCTTTCTCAAGGCCTTCGCGGAGGGCAAGGCACAGGGCGGATGGGCCGCAGAGTCTGGTTCGGGAGAGGCCACGCTCCAGTCGATAGCCTCCGAGCTGCAGGCGTCGGTAAATGAGGCCCAGAGCCTGAAGCTGCCGCTGTTTCTAGGAAGCCAGGCACTCAACCTCATCCGCCTGGGTCTGAAGAGTGCTGGGGCCGAGTCTTCAAAGCAAGCCATTGGCTCTGTTGTGCGTGTATGGGCGACATCGTGAAGGACCGCTAGCGAAGTTTTTATTTGTACTTAATGATATATGGTATATGACTCGGAATGGCAGTTCCCATCAAAATCTCATTTCGTATGTGTGAAGATATATCCCGCTCTGTGAGTCGCCTCCCAACCGTCGTAGAGGCTGCTGAGAACAATGAGGCCAAGGCATGATATGATGACGCGCATCAACGCTCGACATTCGCTCTCAAACAAGGCCGCCCATAGCATGAAACCAGGGGGATAATCATTGTCGTCGCCTGTCAATGGTATCAAGCTAGCATATCATGATACAACAATGTATACCACAACTACTCATTACTACAAATAATCATCAGATTATGGAAATAAGACAAATCACCAGACATTGCTCAAGATATTATAGACACGTCTTCATTTATTTAAAACTATGTCAAAAAGCCACGTATTATTATTACAAAACCAGCACAGCCGGTAGTATACCCGTGTTGTGCGCTCCCGGAGAACTCATAGACCAATCTGGGCCTAATAAAAAGTGTTCTCCAATCTCTTCTCTAAATGATATTTTCGTAAGGATCGTAAGAAAGGAATTAGCCTCGTTAGAGGTTGTTGTCCATGTGTGCTTTTAACTTTTTACAGAACTATTTTATGTCTGAGGAAATTATACAACAGTATAATGAAATGGGGATCTCCCACAGGAGAGGCGGCCTTAGAGAGCGGCGGCAAAGAGCATGGCAGCCAGGCCAAGACCCAGGCTTGCCTTGACGTTGTTACCAGCAGCGATGGGGACACCAGTGGTGGTGCTGGTAGGAAGGACCTGGCTGATGGTACCAACGGGAGGCTTGGTGGTGAGGGTGGAAGCAGTGGGGTTGGCAGGGCTGTTGGCTCCAGTGGTGGAGGGGCCAGCAGTGGCGGTGGCAGTGGCAGAAGGAACCGAGATGTTGGGGATGGTGACCTCAGTGGAGATGGTCTTGGTGGTGGTGCTACCGGAGATGGTGGTGCCACCGCTGACACAAGGCTCAGTGAGAGTGGTCTCGATCAGGATGGTGGTGTAGGGAACGGAGACAACGGGAGTTCCAGTGACAGTGAGAATGTTGGTGATGGTGTCAATGCCAGTGACGATAGCCGGGTTCTCGCCAACGTAGCCAGCGCACATACCCTGGAAGAAAGCAGCGGCCTCGGCAACGATATCGTCGCTTCCACCGTAAGAGTAGATACACTGGAAGGTCTTCTGAACGAAGTCGGAGTTGGGGCAGAAGCAAGCGACATCCAGGTTGTTGGAGCACTGCTCAACAAGGTGGAGCCAGGAGTTGAGACACTTGGGGACGACATCGGGGCAAGGAAGGGGAGTGTCGGGGGTATCAGTCTGAACTGGGGAGTTACCAGAGGTGGAAGCAGAGGGGACAGTGGTCTGGCCAGGAGAGTTGCCAGAAGAGGAGGCCTTGGACGACTGGACTGGGGAGTTACCAGAAGTGTGGGAGGGAACAATGGTCTCGGTGACAGGGCAGACAGTGGTGGTCACTGGGACAGTCTCGGTCACAATGATGGGAGTGCTGGGAGTACCACTGGCAGGGCAGTCGGGGACCTCGGGACCGCAAGAAGTGATGGTCCTGGTGGTAGTGGTAAAGATGGTGGAAGTGCTGTCCCAGGTGGTGGTGATGGTTGTCTCGGGAACGCTCTGGGTCTCAGAAGGAGAAGAGGGGCTGTTGTTTCCGGTGGTGGAAGGGCTGTTGTCTCCGGTGGTGGAGGGACCGTTCTCTTCGGTGGTGGACGAGCTGCTCTCCTCGGAAGAAGATGGGCTGTTACCTCCAGTGGTTGATGGCTCGGGAGCGGATGTGGTCTCAGGGGTCTCGGGAGTGGTAGCAGGAGAGGACTGGCTGGGGATCACGGAGGAGCCGGTGTCAGAGGGGATAGGGGTGGTCTCGGGGTGAGACTTGGAGGGAACAACGGAGCTGCTCTCGGGACCGCCAGGGTGCGACTTGGAGGGGACAACAGAGCTGCTCTCAGGGCCACCAGGGTGCGACTTGGAGGGAACGACAGAGCTGCTCTCGGGACCGCCAGGGTGAGACTTGGAGGGAACGACAGAGCTGCTCTCGGGACCACCAGGGTGGGACTTGGAGGGGACAACAGCAGTGCTGGTAGTGCCATGACCACCACCAGGGCGAGTCGAGGTCTTGCTCGGGACAGGAACAGAGGTGGTCTTGGAGGGAGTGTGGTCGCCACAGTCAAAGCCAATGGAGGGGATCTGGATCTCGCAGCTGGGCTTGGGAGAGTCCTGGATAGGCCAGACAATCTCAACATCGGTGGCACCACCGCACTGGGAGTTGGAGATCTTGTTTCCACCCTTCTTGCAGCTGGAGGACTGCTTGCAAGTAGAGCCACCAGGCATCTTGTAGTGGAACTCGAGACGGCAGTCAAACTCGACATCAATATCGAAGTGGCTGACAGTGAACTTGTCGACACCAGAGCTGGAGCCACAGCCGAAAGAGGGGGTGGAATCCTTGCCACAGCTGGCCTTGATAACCTTGCTGCCGCCGGTCCTCTTGCCCCAAGATGCGCTCTCTCCGCAGGACCAGCCCTTGAAGTCGAAGCCATTATAGGAGCTGAAGGAACCGGTGGTCAGGTCGCTCCAGTCGAATCCTCCCTTGTAAGTGTCCTTGCACTCATTGTTGGAGTTTCCGGGGCAGGTGTAGGAACCAGCGTTCTGCCAGCTGGAACCGAAGTTGAACTGGAACAAACTGGGTTAGTGAATGATCTCCTTTGCTTGCATATGAGTGGGTAGGGGCTTACAGTGGCAGTGGCAGGGCCGAAGCTGGCGGCCATCGCCAGGAGGGCCATTGAGTTCTTCATGATGAAGATGGTTCGGGTTGGTATTCTGAGCGAGGGTATTTCGTTGTTGAGCGAAAGTGGTTGTAGAATTTACAGTATAAGATTATATCAAGAGTGAAATCGGGCCAAAGATGAGCGAATGACTTTGAAACCCTGTCAAAGAGATGTATTGCAAACAAGAGAAAGAAGATGAGCTGTGAGAGGCTTATCGAGAAGGGAAGCAGAAGGAGGGGAGAGATGGGATGCGGTCTATATAGCCAGTGAGCCAGTAGGAGAAAGTGGCCGGTGATGTGCTAGCGAGCGCTTGCCGATGCATCTGGGCCATGCCATGCCATGGGTCCCGGATGGTGCGGTGGCTAGCCCTTCAGCCCCTTTCGGCTCTCTCAACCCAACCCAAAGAGAGTTTTGATTAGGTTGGATCCGATATCAAAGCCCGGCGGCCTTGTTGGGCAGGATGTCATGTAGGTGGGTTGATCCTTAGTCACGCCCCAGTAGGCTATATCAGCATACATGGTGCGGACAAAAGAAAACTGCAGGAAACCCCCAAGGCCCCTTGCACAAACTGGAACCCTAGCCAAAGACGCATGGAGTTGCTCATGGGGGCAACAGGAGAAAGGAGAAGCCGGAGGGCAGGGGGCCATCCTGCTTGGAAGGAGGATGGTCAACGGCTCTGTCGTCCAGGCTAACCATGTTTCAGTTGAGTGGTATGGAATGGTAATGGTGGTGGCCTGAGCTGGGCGGATAGAGACCGCTGCCGAATGGCCGAACAGCAGCAGCTCGAGCTAAGGGCAGATGCGATAGAACTCCGGGGTGTCTTGTCTTGGTCTTGGCTTGTCTTGGTTGTCGCGCGGCAGACTAAAGTGACAGTGCCGGGGGTTGAGGGACCGGGCCCACCTTACGGACATGCTCTCTGGTGCTACGTAGTAGATGGATACTCCGTGGATTGTGGATGGGATGGATCCCTTTTTGCCTGCCTGGTTGTGGTTGTAGGTGGGAGGTCGTATCGGCGGTTGGCTAGCCAGACCTAGGAAGCTTTGCCTCAGTAGGCCACTGGAAAGCGCGCGATCCTGTTCCTGCTCCTCTGGCGCAGGACGCACAGCCATCAGCAGAGCACCATCTCATGTTGCCCATCTCTGCTTGAAACCAGCCTTTTCTCTCGATGTATTGACTGAGGGCTCGCGCGAGGGCAGCGTCCGGCTTTGCGTCCAAGCGCCGAATAACCGGTGCTGCATCTTGGCAAGACCAGGCCTGGCCGACAGGTCTTACGGAGAAAAAAAGATAGGACTGGGGAAGTCGCAGGGGCCTAAAAATCTCCTCTGGTCAGTGCGTCGCACTGAAAATCAAGCTGACGGTTCTGGCGTGGTGTTCCAAACGGGCCAGCGAGATCCAGTTCCAACACGAAAGAGCCGTTTAACCTTGCCGCAAAAGGACGTCGCCTGGGTTGAAACATGGCTCCGGGCTCAAAGCATGCTAGATCAGACGGGGTAAAGCGCTGGATGCGATGCTTCAACGTCGCTTTGAGGGCAAGACATCTGCAGGTACGGCGGGACCGGGAGCATCCAGCCAATGGGGGCGGCGGACGTTGCGCACTCACCGTTGGCACCACCAGGCACCATGACGGGTTGGAGGGGTCCAGCTCGGTCCTGCAAGGGGCAGGTTCGTGAGTGGTTGTCCGTGGGGATGGAAGGGCCCAGGAAGAGAGCAGGAAGAGGCATAGCGTTTGGGCTGGCCGTCACCAATTCGGGCACTCGTTTGACTACCACATCACCGGAATCAGAAACACGCCACACCCACCCGCCAGTCTAATCGAGGCGCGTGAGGTGAGGTGAGTGAGGTGAGGCGCTAGACTGCACAGCCATCACACGGATCCATTGGTTTTGAGTTTGCCAGCATGATGCCACACCAACTGCCGGCCTGTCTACCCTGAAGTCAACTCAACCTGCATCCAGAGCCCAACCCAACCATAGAGCTGCTCTCAAGACCTCATGCCTATCCTCTCAGCCTATACTTTGGAGATTTATTTGCACATTGAACTCTCTACCAACGGCTCCTTCACATTGAATTTCTAATTCTCTTTTATTTTTGTCTCATTTGCCCCATTGGTTCGTGGGAGGTTCAATCCTGCTCTGCTACCTCATCTTCCTATCAGACTGATCGCCGTCAGCCATGTGGTCAACACTAATACCCGAGAGCTCCCATTGGCACATCGCAAAGCTAGAAAACTAGCTAGGTAATGACCATGTGCATATCAGAGGCCGTGCGAGTTATTATTAGGCTCGAATTATCATATCATCGTGATGTGTTCGTTGACGACAGGGGATGAAACACGCCGGTATCCGGCAAGTGGGAATCCTCCCTTGGCACCCAGCACTCGCTGATTCACTCGACTTACTGTGTCGAGCCTTGGGCGCATCCCAGCGGTTGTGGCTTGCTGCTACCTGTGCCCTGGAAACCCTTCCCCATACTCCTGCGAGACATCTCCCACGTTCCATTGCGAGCTGGGACCGGGTAGTATTTTCGAACTCCCTAGGCGAAATCTCCTGCTGAGACAAGGCATGATTCAGGGCGTGTCAGTTCGGCCGTCGCATTCAACAACACTCACTGTACATGCGACGTGCGACATGGAGTCATGGACGTGTAGATCATGCCCCTTCCTCTGTGCTGTCCATGCTCTGGCCGTTGTGGATATCATCACTCAGGTGGCCCAATCCAAGACCCTGGCCACCTGAATCTGGCAATACGAGGTCGCATCCTGGTTTGGCCTTAGGACCAATGTGGTGGGAGCTTTCTTTTTGGAGTACGGGTCATATTACTAGAACACATCGTGGGAATGCCGCCCCAGCTATGTCCAGGATAGGAAGCCAAGCCCATCCTCCACCAGAGAGTCTCTACCGTCGAACTGGAGCTTGGGTCAACCGGCATTGCTCTACCGGCCAATATTAATAACGGCCAGGAAATTCATACTCCATAGATACTACAACGTCCCAGGCAGCTATTGATACTGTATTTCCGCTCTCATGAAAAGTCCCCCAGCTACTTCCGGCCGACGGAGATCGAGTACGGTTCAGACTGCTACATTCAGGCGACCCCTTTGGCGACCCTGCGCGGAAGCCGCTACAAGGAGAAAACCGAATCCGAGAGCCGGCATTTGTGTCATGTTGTCGAGCCGATATGCAGGTACATGGGTCCCGATGCTACCTTGTTTCCTTCCCGGACGAAAAGACCTACAGGGATGGTGATTATCCGCGACAGACCCAGGAGTCTTGATCCCGAGTTTATTCGTGATCAAAACACTATGAAAAGCACAAAAAGCACATCTCCCCAGTTATGAATACATCTCCTTCTCCAGGATTCAAGTTGAACCTTCCCTTCTTTAGCCACATGGTGGCACACCCAAATCCTCCCACGCTGCTGGATTATATCCCGGCAACTCCAGCATCTCGTGGTGGTCTAGGATGCAGTAATACACGCGCGGGATGGGTTTCTATGAATATCGCATGCACATCACGGGAAGAATGTCGTTGAATAATAATAACTCCCGCGGTATCCGGCATGAGGATGGGAACACTATGCGCCATGCGCATGGGGAGCGCTGACCTCCCCCCAGCGTTGTGCCACACTTTGATTTTTGTCGTCGGGACCGAAATTGCATTTTGGAGCTCTAATCTATGCCGTTCTTGCGGATGGCACTCATGAGTCAAGCCGCATTAACCGTCATTTGACAACCCGCCCGGCATGGGAACTGCGCTGCGCCACGTTCCCTTTCTTCCTACTTTCCGTCGTATTCTCAATCTCTAAGCCCGGCCATGGACTCCTCCTTGTCAGGCATGGCATGACCCGACTGCCTGTTATGGAATGCCCTGCTCCCCCGGAGCTTTTCCATGCTTGTCAGGGGCGGCCTTGAGCCTCTTGGAAGCAGATCGTCCTAGCGAGGTGCCGTACTGCTGGCCACCGGCGTGATGGAAGTTCTGGCTGTCCCTCTTCACGCACTGGCACACCTTGGCAGCCCCCGTGTAGTTCAGGCCGCAGGCTTTACAGCCAGTCATCTTTGATAGATTTGCTCGAGTCGGCATTGCCTCTTGGGTTGATGGGCATATAGAAGCTCCGCAGAGCAGAGTCTTTCTGTGAGTTGTAGAATTGATATGACTCGACGATGAAAAGGCCATTGCTATGACTGTTCTGCAGGATATGATCAACTGCTTTATCTTTATATATAGCATTGCCTCCAAACAAATGTCCTACTATGATTGAGAGCCAAAACATCGCGACGATACCACCAAACCCTGATCCGGAAATGCGGATAGTCGGTGAGGAGACTCGCCGTTCACAGGCGCAACGATTGTGCGCACATGATGATTTGCATTCTGCGGCTGACTTTCATATCGTGCGGTTTGTCCACCGACAGTGAGGTCATTCTATAAAACACCATGGTTGAGAGAATCATCGGTAACTCGATCGAATTGCCAAGATATCAAGCAGTTGGAAAGGCTGGCTCCTAGTAGAAAGGGGGCCACACAACTTCCATCAGACATGCTAGTAAACATGGACTCCTGAGAGATAAGAACGAACTCTGCGAGGTGAAGTCAATAACCAGACCAAGTAAACTCCATCAAGCTCACATAGAATTCTCTGTGCACTCCGACGAAGATGATGGGACTAGATTTGTTTATACAAGCTTCAAGTCACACCTCGAACGGGAAGATTCCTGTGAAACGGCATCAGATCTCAATTGGCTGATTGATTGTATATTTTTAGCGAGAAACGGTCCTATTTGCCCTGCATCTTTCGGAGCCTCTCCTCAGCCGCACGTGCTCTGCGTTCGCGCTCCAGCTTCATCCGCATCTCTGGTGTTAGCCCGCGAGCTTCTTCCTCTCTCCGCTCTTGCGGCGTTTTCATCAGGCCTGCAGCAAGGGCATTGGCTTTCGCCTTTTTGCTCTCGGCGACCTTTGGACCCTCGACTCGAAGCCTCTCCTCCTCCGCTTTCCTTCGATCCGCCTCCTTCTTATCCGCCTCTTGTTTCTCCCGTTCGTCTCGAGATCCGGCTTCGGCCTTTGTCATCGCTGCTGGCACCTTTGCTGCCTCCCAATCCCACTTGTCCTCGCCCAACTCCGAGCGCGCGACTCGGAACGCATCCCGACTCGACCGATCTCCAGAAAGTTCAAAAGCTGTCTTGCCTTCCCGATTCTTCAGGGTGGGGTCAGCACCGCCACGAGACAAAATACCGAGAACCATAGGTGCGGCATTCTGTGCTGCCGCCAAGTGAAGGAGTCGCGGAGCGTGGTAGTTCTGGTCCGAAGGCTGAAACTCAAAGTCGGCTCCGATCTGGTTGTTCTTGAGATAGGATAGAAGAGCGGGAAGTTTTGACCGTCGTACAAAGGCCTGAAGTTGTGATGTGTGTAATAGAGCCGTCTCCTGCTCTTCCGAGAGCTTTGGTTTCGCAGCCTTTTGAGTAGACTGTTTTGTGGGAGCTGACGTCTGCTGTGGTTCCACGGTGAGCTCCTGTGGCGGGTCAATCTCGCGTACTTTTAGACGCGTGAGCTCGATAAATGATCTCATAAGCTCATTCTGTGTGGCCCTCCTCGTGCTGAACGGGAAACCTCGCAACCTTGTATCGTTGTGTCTCAGAACTTGCCCATCGTACGGCCCAAATAGGGTCCGCCTGTTGGTTGCACCTGTAGCCCGGACGAAAAGCAAATCGGCCGTATCTAGGAGCCCCTTCCAATCCTCGAGCAAAGCCCGCACATCTTGTACCAGGGCTTGTTCATTGTAACGTCTTAGGCCAGAACCGGCTGAGTGAGCAGTCCCCTTGGCGTTATCATTCGCTGATTGAGAACCACCTTGTTTGCGTCTTGTCGTGTAGCGATGGAATGTCTTGTGGGCAAGCACAGTTGCTTCCCGATTCATGGTTACGCTTCCCTTTGTTGCGCGAGGAGCCAATGAGACGACCATGGCAGCGAAATGGCCGCCTCCAATCATACACAGGAATATGTGAGGGCCTTTATACGGTGCTGTTGCGGTCGGTGTCCCATCCTTGTTTAGCTTTGGCACGGGGACTGGCTCCAGCTGCTTTTTTCTTAGCACATGGACAAGATCACTGTCTCTCTGGTCCTCGCCAGTGAGAATTGCCCGGTAAAGACCAAAGTAGTTGTTTTCCGGCAGTACTGGAGAGCTGAACCATATCAAAGGAGGCTTCCCCCGATTGCTCCTCTTTGCATCTTCCTCGTCCCCGTTTTCCTCATCTCCCCCCGGATTGTTCTTGTCGGCGATTTTGGCTTGTCTCTTGAGAAGAGCTGTCAAAGTCGACTCTGGTCGGCCATCATCCTCGTCTTCCTCAGTATCTTCAGAGTCCGAGCCTGAGAGAGATTCGTCCAGGTTGCCGACGAGCTTCTCAAACTCGGTCTCTGAGACGGGTTTTTGGCCGCGCAGCTTCTGTTTTAGGTTGTAGTTGTGGAAGTCGGATTTCAAGTGGCTCCGCTGTTCTTGAACTGTTGGGAATGTCAGGCTGCAAAGAGAGCAGCTTTGCGATCCAACTAGATTCTCGGACGATGCGCCCGGGCTGACGTCTCTCGGAGTACGCGACAACTCTTCGCTAGCGACTATCGAGGCGTCGGTGTCTGCTTTCAGGGTAAGGGTGTCTAGAACCTGGGGAGGTAGATCGTAAACTGTGCGACAGCATTAGCACAAGATGTTGGCTAGGGTTGGAAAAGGAAGCGCC